AAATTTGCATTGCTAGAGAGCTGCGAAATTAAGGGATATCGAAAACAATAAACAAGATAAATCTTGGAACCAACAACAAACAATACAAATATTATATAAGGCACTTCTAAGTTGTTTTAAGGCTGATCTTGGTCGTTTCATCTATAACTAACATATACTCTGCAAATAACAAATACTTCCGTTCACAAGTTCATCATTATTGTCGTTACTTGAATTCGAAGATTGTAGAATGTTCATCATTATCTCCGTCCCACAATGCCTTCCAAATGACACGATATCTCCCTCAAGGAATCCATGGTAGCCTTGGACGACAACATATTCAATCTCGTAAAATAGGATAAACTCTTTTTATTTAAATCAAAGAACTTAGAATAATAAAATTTCTCTAGAAATTCACATTGCACTCATAAAGACATCCTAATTGATATACAGAGAAACCCCAAATCAAATGGAAGACAACTCTTTAACTAGAGAAAAATAACGAAGAACAAATGATAAAAAAACGTTTATATATATATATATATATATATATATATATATATATATATATATATATATATATATATTGTAGAATAGTGGAACGTGACGACACAAAAGCCTTCAACCACTAATTAAATAATATATAAATTAAGAAAATGGCAAGCCACCAATTCTATCCGGTCTTCAACATCTTATTCAAAACATTCAAATACCCTAAAATTGTAATTTGCATTTCAGATAACATTCAAATACCCTTAAATTGTAATTGGCATTTCAGATAAATGTTGCGGCAATGTTGTTGTAGATAATCCACTAGAGAAAAGGTGTTTAACTTACTACAAACTTTTTAAGTTGATTTCAGGTCACCAAATCACCTGTGTTGGCATATTGAAAATGGCATATTGAAAATTTCATATCAATTGATATGTTATTTTTTCTTATTTTGGAATATTTTTTAAACTAGTTGCTGGCTTCTCAATATCACTAAATGAAATATAATGCAAAATATGTAATGAATGCTATATATAGTGATACATTTGTTGTTTAGAAACCAAAGATAGAATATGAGCATATATAAAACTATTCCCATTCATGTATATAACTAGACATAAATAAGATCGTGAGTTGGTAATCTCGTTAACGCGAACCCGATGTATAGATTGGACATAAAGTAAGGTCGCATAATAAAATAATATCACAAACAACATGTGGGATAAATTTGCATTGCTGGAGAGCTTCGAAATTAAAGGATATCGAAAACAATAGACAAGATAAATCTTGGAACCAACAACAAACAATACAAATATTATATAAGGCACTTCTAAGTTGTTTTAAGGCTGATCTTGGTCGTTTCATTTACAACTAACATATACTCTGCAACTAACAAATACTTCCATTCACAAGTTCATCATTATTGTCGTTACTTGAATTTGAAGATTGTAGAATGTTCATCATTATCTCCGTCCCACAATGCCTTCCAAATGACACGATATCTCCCTCAAGGAATCCATGGTTGCCTTGGACGACAACATATCCAATCTCGTAAAATAGGATAAACTCTTTTTATTTAAATCAAAGAACTTAGAATAAGAAAATTTCTCTAGAAATTCACATTGCACTCATAAAGACATCCTAACTGATATACGGAGAAACCCCAAATCAAATGGAAGACAACTCTTTAACTAGAGAAAAATAACGAAGAACGAATGATAAAAAAATGTTTATATATATATATATATATATATATATATATATATATATATATATATATATATATATATTGTAGAATAGTGGAACGTGACGACACAAGCCTTCAACCACTAATTAAATAAGATATAAATTAAAAAAATGGCAAGCCACCAATTCTATCCGGTCTTCAACATCTTATTCAAAACATTCAAATACCCTAAAATTGTAATTGGCATTTCAGATAAATGTTGCGGCAATGTTGTTGTAGACAATCCACTAGGGAAAGTGTGTTTAACTTACTACAAACTTTTTAAGTTGATTTCAGGTCACCAGATCACATGTGTTGGCGTATTGAAAATTTCATATCAATTGATATGTTATTTTTTTCTTATTTTGTAATATTTTTAAACTAGTTGCTGGCTTCTCAATTTCACTAAATGAAATATAATGCAAAATATATGTAACAAATGCTATATATAGTGATATATTTGTTGTTTAGAAACCAAAGATAGAATATGAGCATATATAAAACTATTCCCATTCATGTCTATAACTAGACATAAATAAGATCGTGAGTCGGTAGTCTCGTTAGCGTGAACCAGATGTATAAATTGGACATAATGTAAGGTCGCATAATATAATAATATCACAAAAAACATGTGGGATAAATTTGGATTGCTAGAGAGCTTCGAAATTAAAGGATATCGAGAACAATAGACAATATAAATCTTGGAACCAACAACCAACAATACAAATATTATATAAGGCACTTTTAAGCTGTTTTAGGGCTAATCTTAACATATACCCTACAACTAACAAATACTTTCGTTCATAAGTTCATCGTTATTGTCGTTACTTGAATTCGAAGATTATAGAATGTTCCTAAAGGATGTAACACTGTGGGATGATAGGATTTTGATTTGAGTTCATTATAAGTTGTATGCATACATTCTTATATGTTAGTTTTCATATTAAAAATATACACTGATTGTGATAAGTATTTTCATGTGAACAACATACTCGAAAATGTGTTGTTGTATACTCACGCAATCAAAAGACATAACTAATCACCAACAAATGAAAGGATATCAATGTCACATTCAGATGATCATAGGAGTGCTTAAAGATATAATTTATATACCTCTTAAATAGTTGAAAATATACGACTCCTGAATTGATCGTAATAAACATCTTTATGCCTCGTTGAAAGAAACTTCAAAAGTATGCAAAAAATAATACTCATTTAGCTATTAATATCCTGTATTGAAAGTTAATATTATCTTAATTTAATATTACACACAGAAATAATGTATAGAAAATTCTACATGGCAAAAGAAACATATATGTTTTATCATAAGTTCATCAATATAATTTAGCATTACTTGTTATTTTGTTACAATACCAAAAAATATGGTTCAATAAAGATATGTGGTTATTTTAATAAATAAATTTTAAATTAAATATAAAACTTTAGTTAATTTAGAAAATAAAAATAAAAAATATCAAAATAGAACAAACATCAAAAGCGCCGAAACGAGTTAGGGTTCCATTAAGCCAAGTATATATACGCAGATCTCCTAAATACTTCAAGGTGTTTCGTTAGGTTTTCGGGATCGGCAGCAATGGCGGAGACAACTGGTGTAGTTGTTCGTTTTCACGATAGCAAGGGCTACGGCTTCATCAAGCCCGATGATGGCGATGAAGATCTGTTCGTTCACCACTCCGAGATTCAATCGGATGGTTACCGGAGTCTTTCCGAAGGTCAGAAGGTTAAGTTCTTAGTTGTTGAAAAAAACGATCGGAAACAAGCTGTTAGTGTAACTAGCGTCGACGGATCTAGTATCGACAGAAACCGTAACCGTGATGGTTTTGGTGGCGGTCGTAGAGGCGGTGATGATGGCTACGGATTTAGCCGCGGCGGCGGCGGTTTCAGGGGTGGTAGCGGTAACGGCGGCGGCGGACGTGAGTGCTACAATTGTGGTGAATCTGGGCATTTCGCTAGGGATTGTAGAGTGAATAGCGGCGGAGGCGGTGGAGGTGGCGGTGGCGGCGGGGCTTGTTACAGCTGTGGTGGGTTTGGTCATTTAGCTAGGGATTGTAATAGTGGGCGCGGAGGTAGTGGCGTTGGCGGTGGCGGTAGCGGTAGCGGCGGCGGAGGCGGATGTTATAATTGTGGTGAGACAGGGCATCTGGCAAGGGATTGCAAATCAGGTGGTGGCTACTCCAGGTCTGGCGCTGGTGGTGGAGGTGGCTATAAGTCCGGCGGTGGTGGTAGCTGTTACAATTGTGGAGAACCGGGGCACTTCGCTAGAGAATGTCCTACTGCTGCCAGTTCTTGATACATCAACTAATCGGTGGATCTTTCTAAGTACATTTGGTATTACTTTAATTTAATATTTTAGGGTTTTATTTTTGAGCTTATACAGAGGAACAATCATTATAGTATTTTAGTTATGTGGCAATCTTATGAATATATTATGTTGACTGGCCTAGTTATTTTAACTAGGTAAGGTTTTTTGGCTTCATTTTTGTTCGTCATGATCTTAACATAAAATTATCTATTTTTATAATTTTATTTTTAAATCTTGGTGGATATATGATTTGTGATCTGATGAGATTTATGACGCATAATTTTGATTTATGAATAGAATGCAATGAATGATTGATCAACTCAATGTGTTTTGGCTTTTGATTTGTTTGAAGCTACTATGACATGATATGGTGGTAATGTGGTTATGAGTTTGTGTTCCTTTATTGTTTTAGTTTTGATTAGACTAATCAAACTTCCAATCACTACCACTATATGATGATAAATGATCCGAGTTTTCTGGCTTATTGTATTAAGCAAAGTTTATAACTACATGATGATAAGAGTGTCTATGTTAATGATCGAATGTCTTGGATTATTATAACTTGTTTATGCACATTGCCAACTTAACTTGAACTTTCCTCAAAATTAATAGGTCGGTTGAGATTATTAATATATTTAACATGTTTAATCAAGTAGATTGGGTTATGGTGAAACATGAGAATATGGGATATGATAGATGGGAAAACTGCAATAAAGTCCCTAAGTATTGCCCGTATAATCGATTTAGCCCTTATATATTTTTTTTTTGCAATTTAGTCCTAAATACCTGTAAACGTAATCAAAACGAGATATTTAATAGGTTAGCCGGTATCTAACTGATGTGGCAGCTTACGTGGAAGTCATCATGTGAAATAACATCCTACGTGCCATTTAAGAGGGCTAAATCATTGAATCGAGCTCGTCTTCTTCAATCTCCAGTCAAAGGAGCGAACGATTAGGGCAAATTGGCAACAGGAAATCGATGTCGAGTTCGTCAAGCACCAACATCAGAACGTGCTATTGTGGAGATACGGTTGGGATGTGGACATCATGGACTCGAAAGAATCCAGGTCGGAGGTTTTTTGGTTGCCCAAATTACATGGTATAGAATCTTCAAAACTCACTCAAATTCTTCTAATCCTCTAAATTTCCCATTTTTCTATGTTAAAAACATGCATCTTGCTATGTTATGTAGGATGAAGAGAAGGACTGTGGGTATTTTCGTTGGATTGACCCACCACTATTGAATAAGTGGTATAAAGAAAGAATGTATGAGTTAGGAGCTGTTGCTAATGGGGGTGTAGCTATTCCTTTTAATAACCCTGTTAATGAAGGTGAAATACCTGTTGATGGCCCTATTGCCCCTGTGAATGTTGATGTCCCTATTGCCCCTGCGAATGCTCTTGAACCTGATAATCAAATTGCAATGTGTGACAATACACATGTGCCTAGTAATGAATTTGGATTCTGCAAGTGGATGATGGTTTGTTTTGTTTGTTTCATTGTAGGGATGATGTATGGTTAGTTTAGTGTAAGTTGTAGGGTATTATGGTATGGTAGGGATGATGTAATCTTTTGGTTTGTTATCATCATGATGTAATAGATAAATTTTGATGTAATAGTTTAATGTTTCGGTTAATGAAATGGCAATATGTTATTATGGTTTGCATAAATGGTGTACACTAGACAAATATAACCATGATTTAACAATTGGTGTTGAATTTGGGACTAAAATGATCACCATTGACAACAAACCAATAAAGCTCCAAATCTGGGACACAGTTTGTCTCCTTCTTTTCTTTTATACCTTATTCTCTTGTTACATTTATTATAAAAAGAAATCTTAAAAAAATCTCTTCTTTTTTCTTTATATATTTGTTAGGATGGTCAAGAATCATTTAGATCAATAACAAGATCTTACTACAGAGGTGTTGCTGGTGCCCTTCTTGGTTTGCATAAATGGTGTACACTTGACAAATATAACCATATTAAGGGCATTCACAATGTTTCAATGTGGCTAAAATAATTAAACAACAAACTCCAATATGTCATTACCAACCATGTTAAGGGCATTCACAATGTTTCAATGTGTTTACAAAAGATGTACAAAATATGGTTATCAGTAATTTAAGGGCATTCACAAAAGATATACAAAAGTAGCATTCACAAAAGATGCACAAAAGTAGCATTCACAAAAGATGTACCAAAATACCCTTACTACCCTTAACACCCTAACACCCTAATCCAACTCCAATGGTGAATTTGAAGAAGTCCCAACACATCCCATCTTCTTCAGCTTGGTTTTAACAATCCTCTCAGAGGGCCTTCTTTTTTTCACAATCCTAAGGTGTACTGGTAATTCATGGGTGTCATTAATGCCTTCTTCTTCTTCCTCACTTTCTGGTTGTGTCTCAGGGATATTTTCTTCATCCCCATCTTGTGTCTCTGTCTGAGGTGGATACTCCTCTTCCTATAAAACATCAAGCAATTAATAACATAAACGAATGTAAACATTAAGGTAATATAGAGGGTTTACCATAGACATAGGAAGAACTTGTTCAATAGTGTCATTGTAATCATTGAGTTGTTTCATATGTGAATCTGTCAGACTAAGTGACTTTTTAATTTCTTCAGTTGAATACCGTGATTGTTTCAAATCTTGCATTGCCTTCCATAAATGGACTAAATATTTTTCAGGAATAGTGTCATCCTCAACTTCAGCCACTCCACCACCTTCAACTTCAGCCACTCCACCAACTTCAGCCACTCCACCACCTCTGTTAGCCACTACATCACCTGTGTTACCCACTGCACCACCTCTGTTACCCCCTCTACCACCTCTACTACCCCTTGCACCACCTCTTACACCACCTCTAGTCCAATGACTGATATCAGGATCCAATCTTGGTCTACCCATTTTTTTCTTGGGTTTGGGTTTTGGTGTGACCTTGGGATTCTTACAGGATGCCTTGTTATGACCCCTTTGAAGACAATTTTTGCATTGGACAGTCCTTCCTTTTCCTGTAACCTTCATCTTATTTTGGGAGTATTTGTCTTGAGATTCAGTGGCATGCCTCTTTCTTTTCAGAGTTGGTCTCCCTGGCATTCTTCTAGCTAAAGGGGGTAGAGGCTTTATGTATGATGTTCTAGGCCATAAATTTCTACCATTCACAGGTAGTATATTGTTTGCATATATGGCCTTGAACCTGTCCACATGAAACCACTCACTTATGAAATGAACAGGATCTTGTCCAGTGAATAATATTGCACACTGTGCATGTACACATGGAATTCCTGAGATATCCCAAAGCCTACAGCTGCACACTCTGCTTTGTAAGTTAACCACGTACCCTTCTAATCCATTCCTGGCTTCAAAAATAGATGGTCCACTTGGATTCACATTCCAATTCCTACAATGGCATTACTAAATGAAATCATAACAATGAAATTAGAATAATGATAACAAGGAACAATAAAAATGCTAAGACAAACCTCAAATCCTCTCCAAACTTGTTCATTTTTTTGATAGCAGCTGGACAAACCACTGATTCCCACTTTTCTGCCTTTTGTAACATATGGTAGAACCTATCCATCATGTACAACCTAATTTCTTCAAACATTGCTAGAAGGGGTTTCTTTCTAGCATCCAATATGATGGCGTTGAAGCACTCTGTAATGCCATTTTCAACTGCCTCACATGCTACATCAGTCCTAAAAAATGCCCTGCACCATGTGTGAGGATCTCTTGCGATCAAATGTTCATAAGCATTTGGATTAACCTCTTTTATATCATCCATTTTCCTGAGAAATTCACTCTCTACAGTTGATAAGGAAGCTGCCCAGAACATATTCTTGAACTCCACTCCAGAATAGGTCTTCCTAAAGTTAGCATATATGTGTCTTGCACACTGTCTATGCTCCACATTTGGTAGGACTTCTTTGGTTGCTTCAAGCAATCCCTACAATTTAATGAATACATAAACATATAAGATGATGTTAAGGAAAAATCATAAATATGCAAAGAAATTACAAACCTTATGTTGATCAGAAATTACAGTAAACCCTCCTCCATCTAGCAGATTAAGATCCTCTGTGAGCAGTTCCAAAAACCATTTCCAATTAGCTTTGTTTTCAATGTCAACAACTGCCCAAGCAATTGGATAAACTTGGTTGTTTGCATCCCTCCCTATTGCTGTGAGTAATTCTCCTTTACATGTCCCTTTCAAGAAAGATCCATCTAGACCAATTACCCTACGGCACCCTATTTTCCAACCTTCCTTGATTGCTTTAAAACACAAATACATCCTGTGAAAGTATGTTGTTTCATCTGGATTTACAGTGACACCAACTTGGACAGTGCTACCAGGATTTGACCTTAGTAACTCATGGCAATAGTCCCACACCCTAGCATAATGTTCTGTAAGTTTACCATCTATAATGGTCATTGCTCTACACCTTGTTCTGTAAGCCTTAGACCAAGATACACCACAATGAAATTTGGTCCTAATTATTGATTGCATCTCCTTACACTTCAAGTTAGGTTTCATTATCAACTCCTTCAAAAAGTGTCTTGCTAGCCATCTGGGACTCAGTAAATTTGAAATATTGAAATTTCTAACACATTTGTGCTCATCGACTAAGGTTTTAATCTGAAAAGACCTTTCTTGAGTCATCCAGGAAGCATGAACTCTGAATGGGCAGGGTTGAGACTTCATCTTAGAACCACATTTGGCAGTTAATCTCACAGTGTCACACTTCGCAAATTTAATGTTATACCCTGACTTAATAGCATAATTAGTGAGACATTGTTGCAACTGATGTGGTGATTCATACCTTTCACCAAGAAGGGGCTTCATCTTATTCCACTTAACTGATGGGTCGTGAATGGGGAAGCCTGCACCAACCGCATCTCCCAAATCAAGATCATTAGCCCCTGCTGTGTCATCGATTTCCTCTTCTGAACCAAACCCTTCTTCATCTTCATCAACTAAGTCATTGTCTTCATCGGCTTCATTATCTTCATAATCAGAACTGAAGTTAAGGAAAGCATCCTTGCATCTCTCTTTACCCTGTGTCTTGAAATCATCTTCTTCCAGTTCCACATCTATGTGCTCAGTATCGAGCACCTCGTCATCATCTTCGTATTCTTCAGAGTCGTATTCTTCAGATGACTCATGGCGAACTTCTTCTGATTCGACAACCATTGGGTTTTACCTTCGTTTCTCTCAGTAAAACCTTACTTATTTTGTGTATCACTCTGTAAAAACCCTATCTTTTTCTCTCAATCGATTTACCAGACGTCGAATGCAATGGAAATGGAAGGGTAAAACTCACTTGTACACGTAAGGTGGGATACCGGCTAACCTATTAAATATCTCGTTTTGATTACGTTTACAGGTATTTAGGACTAAATTGCAAAAAAAAAATATATATATAAGGGCTAAATCGATTATACGGGCAATACTTAGGGACTTTATTGTAGTTTTCCCTATGATAGATTGATGATATCTACCCAATAATTTTGTAAATGTTCATTTTTATTTTAATTCTATATTTAATTTAATATAAGTATTTGATAATCGTATTATTATTATTATTATTATTATTATTATTATTATTATTATTATATGTTAATGTTTTGAGATATACTTGTGATGCTTGCTTGTAATTTGGACACCTAAATGATTTATTTGATTTATCTTCTTTTAGGAACTCATGAGTCTTGTATTTAGTTTCCGAGTTTATCAAAAGAAAAGAAAAAAAAAATCGGAGAGAAAAGAAGAGATATGAAAGGAGACTAAAATTTTCTTTTGTGTTAATAAGTTGGAGAGAAATGGAAGGAAAATTAATTATTTTGTTCTTTCTTTTCAATTCTTCCAAATCGGAAGGAAAGTTAGGAGGGATTTTGTTATTTCTTTCCAAATCCTTCTAAATCGGAAGGAAAGTGATTATTTAATTTTTCTACTTACTCCGACTTCTTTCTTTTAGTGAAACTCAGTACCATCAATTTATTTTATTTTATTTTATTTTATTATTATTATTTTTTTTCTATAATTTTCTCTTGTTAAATTGAACTCAGGACTATGGTTTTGGCACTTCATAATCTTATACATTAGCATAGTGTCATCTAACCAAGAATGCTATGTTCGTAGGATTAGTTAAAGAATTAATTGAAAAGGTAGTTACTAGATAAAAAAATAAGTTTAGTAAACATATTATAAGCTAGCTATGAAATGTAAAATTGTATAAACAAACATACGATAAGCTAGCTAGGAAAAGTAAAATTGTATGAAAGAGTACCTAGAAAAATCATTTAATATAAGGGTTATTTTATTTTATTTATTTATTTATTATTTTTTTTTTGACGATCTTATCATCAATTGAATGCATGGTTTTGATTTATCAATTGATGATTGATTAAACTCATTGTATTTTGGGTTTTGATTTGTGGGAAACTACCATGGAATACTCGGTTGTCATTTTGATGTAGATTGTTTTTTTAAGGTTAAAATATGTCAACACATGTGAATGAGATTGTGCTAGATTATATTAAACTCCTTCTGCTAGATTAGATTAGATGCAACATGAATGTTTTTATACATTGAATAAGGAGACGAGGGCTTATCTGTATATGTCTCAAAAATTGACAGGCTGAGTTAATATAATCATTTTTTTTTTTTTTTTTTAAATTCATTCTGTTAAGTAGATTTATGATCTATGACCCACTAATTCGTTAATATATACTTATTTTATATTTAATTCAATATCAATGTTTGATTATCTCATAATTATTAGATATTGAGTTCTACGTTAAACTTATGATACTCGCTTGTTATTTATTACCAAGCAAAAGCTAGTAGCTCTAATAAATAGGACTCAGTCAAATCGATTAAACTAGGTTAAAACTTTCACTCTTGTGTTGTTTGTTTTTTAATAAGTAAAATATCTACTGCAGACCATATTTTCAGACATCTGTAAAAACTTTAAAATAAACGAAAATTTAAGTAAACTAATTGTTTTAAACTTAAAAGTGTTAAAGATTATAATCTATTAGCTCATATACACAATAAAAACACATAGCAAAAAAACATTTCAAATTTATTCAAACATTCGGATAACCTTTCTCAACTTTACGTCTTAAATCCATTGCTTCATCAAACGAACTCTAGGCATTCTCTCTTGTAGTCCTTTGAGTAGCACAAATGTAGTTAATGTAGTTAAATAGAAACTAATATGAGAAACTCCGAGCTACATATGTCTTACTACAAAAAAGATAGATCTACAAAGATTCAATTAAAAAAAAAAAAGTTTTGTTCATCTGATTACAAAAAGAACTCAAGTAGCCCCTGCATAAACACAAATGAACTAAAAAAGAAGCACAATCTGATCTGATTTGATTTCAAGCAAAAACCAATATAGTAAAAATTCAAATATGATTTCAGCAAAATGATCATATATCAAATCTGATTTCAAACCTAATCTGAATAATGATTCCAAAAAACCATATAGCATATTTTGATTTGTAAACAACAAGCATAATATGATTTCAAATAACAAGTATAATCTAAAATCTAATCTCAAATCTGATTTCTAAAAAAGCATTCTAACCTTAGATTACATAACAAGAAACATACAATCCGATTTCATAACAAGAAAAGAACCACAAAAAAAATGGTTGCTTGAAGATTTCAGGTGATGTTTACTAGAAGAAAAATATTAGAAGTGAAGACATTCTTACCTGACCGGAGATAGTGGGCAGAGAGCGGGGGTGACCAGGGATGGCAAGAAGGGTTAATTCCAGTATCTTTTTATTTTCACATAAAAATGAGATCACGTATTTATAAAGGGTTCAATGTTTATTTATTTAACAATATCGAGAATATGACTTATTAAAGTAATTAATTTTTCGGTTTGTTCATATCTGGGTAGTTTTTTTTATACACATCTAGATAACAAATTTGTTAGAAGTGTTCACATATGACAATTATGACATGTTATAACATGTTACATCCGGCTGCAGCAGGTCATAATGATCATATGTGAACACTTTTCAACAAGTTCGTTACGTAGATGCTTAAAAAAAATAGTTACCAAAATATGAACAAAACAAAAATGAAGAGTAAATTACACGAATGGTCCCTGTGGATTTGAGGAATTTGTATGTTTTGTTTCTAACTTATTTTTTTAACTTGGAGGACCCTTCATATTTATTTTTGTTGCGTGTTTGGTCCACGTCTTACCTAAAAAGACTACTGTGCCCTTATTAATTTATTTTTTAATTAATTTTATTATTTATATATTTATCTTTTATATATTTAAAAATTTTAATGGACCTTACATATCTGTATCTCCTCAACGTAAACCTAAAACCACATTTGAGAAATTTAATCTAGGTCCCACCGGTCACCGTCCTATCTCTTATCCTATTCAACTTTTATTTCCTTCCCATCTTTAGTGACATTAACGTCTTCACCATCTTTTTTTTTGTCCTTTAACTTTGGCGAATCAACACCATAACCCATTGTCTCTTCATCTTTAGTTGGTTATGGTGTTGGTTCTTTGGAGTTGAAGGACCGAAAAAAGAAGGGATGATGAAAACCTCGATGTTACTAAAGATGAAAAAGGAATATAAGTTGAGAAGGATGAAAGATGGGATGGTGATTAGATACAAATATGTGGGGTTTATTAATTTTTTTTTAATATAAAACAAATAAATATATAAATAAGAAAATTAATTAAAAAAATTAATTAATAAGGACAACATAGTCTTTTTAGGTAAGACAGGGACCAAACGCGTAAAAAAAATAAACAATAAGGATCATCCAAGCTAATAAGATAAATTAGGACCAACCACATAAATTCCTCCAAACCACAGGTCCATTCGTGTGATTTACTCTTACTTTTGGTTTTGTTCATATTTAGGTAATAATTTTTTTTACACATTTAGGTAATAATATTCACATATGACCATTACGATATTTTGTAGCCCGATGTAATCTACTATATAGATCATAATTATCATATTTAAAAAACACTTTCAATAAGTTTATTACTTAAATGTGTACAAAAAAGATAGTTACCCAGATGTGAATAACCCGAAAAATTAATTACCTTAATAAGTTATATTTCCAACAATATTATATAATTGTTTAATTCATGTAAAAAAATGATTATGACAACCTGATTTCGTTCTTGAATTCAAGACTTTACATCAATTAAATTCTTATTTATCTAACAATGTCTTATTATTATTATTATTATAATTATTATTATTGTTATTATTAATTTATGTTAACATGTTATATATATATATATATATATATATATATATATATATATATATATATATAAAATTAAAATTTTATACAATTAAGACAAATTATTAATCAATGTTTCAAATAATTAAACAAGGTACAATAAAATATTGCATCTTCTGGCCTTCAAATGAAACATGTTTGTGTATTGTGTATTTCATATAAAATATTATTTAACTCTTAAAAAAACAAAGTTATTTCACCAAAATGAAACCAAAAAACTCAAACTCATGTCTCCTACATTACTTGTAAAGGGAGACATACACCTTTGAATATCCAATATCTAGGAAGCCATTCATGTGCATTTCTATCCAATCTTTTTAATTCCCCACATGTCTCTCAAAAAGTATTCACTTTAAAAGGATTTATTTTGAGATTGATTCATGTATATGATTAAATTTGACAATAGTTGCGCAATTATGTATTTTACTCAAGCATAATACAAACCGTTCAAATAACATATAACATATTTATCTATATATAATTATCTTGGTTATAAAACTGAACATGATGTAAAGGGAAGTAAGGTGGTGGAGAAAGATGTAAGCAAGAAGCAAGTGAGAGTGAGAAAAGCCTTATCTTATCTTCTTATACTAATCTTTTACTTTAGTTCCTTAAGATGGGAATTAAATAACCTATCTATATAAACGAGTTTTTCATTTTTTTTTTTAGTTTTTAAAAATAACAACCTTTCTTGAATGTCTTATTCCAAACTATTGTTTATATTTTGAAGTTTTTACTATATAGTGCTCTATTCCGGATTTGATATTCAAATTTCAGATTTACTTTTTGTTTTTTTCAAATTTTTAAATAGAAATATCATTGATTATGTTTGAAATGTTCATTTCAAAGGGTTTAATGTCACATTTTCTTAAATAATATGTGCTTTTATGCACTAATATATTATATAGTTTACATTACTATGTTTGTTTAATTTTATTTAAATAAAAGTATTTTTTTATCTTGAAAATTTGAAATTGTTTATCGGATTTCAGACTAGTTTTTTGAAATTTCTACAGTTTTTTTAATTTATTATTATTATTATTATTATTATTATTTTGGAATGCCTATTCCATACTAAGTGATTATTTTGCTAAAAATAATTTTTTGCTACTGTGTTTCAAACACATTAAATTATGGTTATATTACTTAATTTCCCTCAAAAGTTGTACTTACTATTTCCCGTCTTTATTAAGAGTGTTCGTTTGAATATATTGGTTCGATCCGATCTAACCAAGTTAATCCAAATTGATTTCGGTTTTCAAAATATGGATTCAAATACTCCAACTAAATTCAAATATAATCCGATCCAACCAAATTACAATTCGTCCGATCGG